ACACACACACACACACACACACACACACACACACACACAATAACAATAACAACAAAAAATCCTGGACCGGGGATTTGGCTCAGTGGTTCTGCCGCCTGCCTCCCAAGCACAAGGTCCTGAGTTTGATCCCCAGTAACCCCCCCAAAAAAATCTGACATATTTTCAAGGAGAGTATTAATTTCATATTTAACAAAAAGCATAATCAACAAAATCCTATTACAATGCACATGCAAACTCTAAGGACATTTTCTTAATTTTGGAAAAGGGCATTCTTTATCAAAGTATCATCACTACTTTGTTGGATTGGGCTTCAGTTCAATTTTACCACTTTTCCTTTTTGTTATAGGTTTATTGATCACCTCTACAGTGTACAACAATGTTTTTTATATACTTCTGGCTTAAACTTTCCAACAACTACACTGTAATGGACTGTGTATTGCACTATGAATAAGAAGCACTTACCCTCCTATACCTAGAGCAGATCTATACACACAACCCTCACTCGGGGACACTTCAGTCTGAATGTGTGCTCCATCAATAGCTAGTACAGCACCTAGCACATGACAGGTCCCCAGTAAATATTTACTAAGCAAATATGAAAGCACACATATAATTTCCCATTCTTAAGTGATTTAAATGTTCCTTGCCCAGTCCTTTGATAACACTGAATATGATTTAAAACACGAAAACAAAACAAAAAGATTCCTATTTTTCTATGACATTTATAAAGAAGAATAAGGCTTATTCTACTTTAGTATAGTTGAGATTATCAGAAATTTTTCCTTTCAGTGAAATAAAATCTTCCTTCCAGCCACTCAGTCCTGATTCTGACCTAAGAGAATAAACCTAAGCCTGCAAATCTCACACAACCATGATGACATCCACAACTGAGTCTTTTTGTTAAAGTATTTCTAGCTCTCTTCATCATTTCTCAGATTACCAATCCATCCTCCATCTTAATTTCATATTTTCTAGATTAACTGCAGTTAGTAAAGGCCCTCATACCATGACATTAATTTCACTAAAAGTCATATAACTACCTTAAGACAATATTCACAATGAGTGACCCTCAGATGTCTGCAGAGTGATTTTGTTTTGTTTTCTTTTTTTTTTAGGTATCAGGGATCGAACTTGGGACCCCTTGCACTTGCGAGGCAGGCGGCAGAACCACTGAGCTAAATCCCCGGCCCTTGCAGAGTGATTTTGTGCCTGTATATTGAACTGGGGATTGAAGTCAGGGCCTCAAAAAATGCCAGGTGAGCCAGGGATTTAGCTCAGTGGCACAGCACCTGCCTCGAAAGTGCAAGGTCCCGAGTTCGATCCCCGGTACTTAAAAAAAAGTTTTTAAAAAAAATGCCAGGCAAACTTTCTACTTCTGAGCTTACATTCCTATCCCACCCATCCCACCATACTTTTTTTTTTGGTACCAGGTACCGAACTCGGGTCCTAGCGCTTGTGTAGCAGGCGGTGAAACCACTGAGCTAAATCCCCGGCCCCTACCCACCATACCTTTAAAAAAAAAAAAATTTAAATTTTAAAAAGGGTTAAAAAAATTTTTTTAAAGGGTTTCACTAAGTTGTCCAGGGTAGGCTTAAAGCTGTCACTGAATTGCCTCAGCCTCGGCCTGAGTAGTTGGGATTACAGGCATGTGCCACCATGCCTGGCCAGAATGATTTTTTAAAATACATAGATGATGGGCCGGGAATTTAGCTCAGTGGTTTTGCTGCCTGCTGTGCAAGCGCCAAGGACCGGACTTCGATCCTCGGTACCAAAAAAAAAAAAAAGAATTGCACTAAAATACATAGATCACTTCAGATAGGGGCTTTGCCTCCAGATTTCCTTATATTTTTCCAAACCCATTTCATTAGGGCTCTTTAAATGTCTGGCCTCTGAATTTACAACTTCTGCCTGAATTTATTTTTAATTTGGGTTTCTTTATAACCATATCTATCTTGTTAAATTTATAAATTTTAGGTTGAAAAATGGCAAACCTCACAGATAAAGGAAGCACGTTTTAAAATTCACCTGAAAAGAAAGTCCTCAGTTGAGAATACAGTACTAAATTTCTCCCATAGTTCTCATTTTTTAGTCTACATTTTAAGATTACTCTGTATTTTTTAATTCTCTTAATTTTATTTATTTATTTTGCAGTAGTAGAGACTCAACCCCAGGGCCTTTGCACTGAGGTCCCAATCCTTTCTCATTTTTATTTTGAGAGAGGGTCTCATTAAGTTGTGCAGGCTGGCCTTGAATGGGATTACAGGTATGCACCACCACCCCAGATTGTTGTTTTCTTTTTTCATATCTTGGCCACAATTATGAAACTCTTTTTGTGTAAGGAATGGTAGTAAGTTATCAGCAAGAAGTAGTTCAAACAGCAAATTCCAAGAAATATTAAACTACATAGAAATCTAAGAAATGGTGCATTACAAAAACAGGCAAAGAAATATACTATTATAAGTATTACTAATTATTGTCTTCATTGTGCTTTTCTGCTGGCTAACAAACACATCAAATGATTTTTGCATTTTAGTAAATGACTTAAGCACAACTTAAAATACTTTGCAATACGATATTACAAACATAGCACAAAGTGCACACTAAAGTGCTTTGAGAAACAAGTTTAACCTTTATTACATTACCTGCTAACCGAGTAGAACCTTAAGAAATGTATGGTTCAATGACCTTGTATAAGGGAAAGGCTGCCTGCCTGGGAAATGGACCACAAGACACAACACCTCATTATTAACACCTGTACAGGAGTATTACACCACAGGTCACACCTGAACTCAGCAAGCCAGCGTTAGCTACTTCTTCACATTGCTCCCTACAATTTCACAACCAGAAAGGGAGGGTTTGTGGCAGCACCTAATGAAAGACAGCAGTAGCTCATGGCTGTTAAATTCCTGTCATATAGAATTCTTTAATCATTCATGGACTCTTACTCTACTTGCAGTTTGTACTTGAGAAGCCGAACTTGGCCTGACTACAACTGAATACTCATGCAGAGACATTCCTCATTCATAGACGCAAAGCTACACAGAGAAATAAATGTTTAACCTTGTATCCTAATCATACTTCACAAAAAGAAACAAAAACTGGGGATTTAAAAAAGATTTTAAGGTCAGGCATGGTGGTGCATGCCTGTAATCCCAGCACTCAGGAGGCCGAGGGAGGAGGATCACAGCGAGTTCGAGGCCACCCTGGGATACATGGCAAGACCTTGCCCCAAAAAACCAAAAATAAATCAATTTTTTAAAAAATAAATGTTTTAAAAGGCCAAATATGTAGACAATGGCATTTACCTAATAACTCATTTTAAATTATAGCCAGGAAACAGTAAAACAAAAATTTTTTTAAATTAAGAAAAGCTACTTTAGGACCGGGGATTTAGCTCAGTGGTGCTGCCCATGCCTTTCAGGCACAAGGTCCAGAGTTTGATCCCCAGTACAGAAGGAAGGAAGAAAGGAAGGAGAGAGAAAGAAAGAAAGAGAGAGAGAGAAAGAGAAAGAAAGACAGACAGGAAGGGAAAAGAAAAGAAAAAAAAGAAAAGAGCTACTTTGTGCAGGTATGTTAAGTTCTATCCATTCCTCAGGAAAGGGGACTGGAAAGTTTTCAAAATGAGTTATGAAGACTAAAATACAGAAAAATGAAAGGCAGATCTGTAATACTATGGTGCGGGTGTGGTGGAGGGGGGTAAAAAATCCTGGACTGGTAAACTGGACAGGAATTCCTTGTGTTCTCCGTATCTTTTAAAGTTATTAAGACGAGGTTTAGTCATCTAATCAGCCATTCAATCCTATCCCTAAGAGAGCAAAAGTCCAAAATTCTACAAGAGCTGTTTCTCAGTATAGAAATTCATTTTAATGCCAGATGAGGGGCATTTTGGCTACTTCCGTTTCTTTCTCTAGAATACCTTTCCCAACTCTTTAGTAAAGGTGTACACCTACTTCAAGAGCAGGAAACCGCAAAGGCTCTGTGCTCAATTGCTACTGCCTATTTTTATTTAATTAACACCGTAGAAACAAAAAAAAGTCAACTGCACAGCACCCCAAGAGCACCAAAGGCTATTCTAGTTATTTTACTTTCAGAGAATTTAAATCACGTGAGTTGCTTTAAACAGAGCCACTGGTATGGACCACAACCTTCAACACCGGATTCCCCTGTCTTCGGCGCAGAAGGGCAGCTTCCAGGACAACTTCTAGAAAGCCTTCCGAGACTTTGCTCTTCAATGTAACAGCCTTCCTTTGGTCTCTCCACCCAACCACGCTGCTCCTCCCATATGCATTTGAAAGATAATTTGAGTCTCCTCCCCTGAACCACAGACTTTTCGTAACACCAGATCGTTAAAAAAAAAAAAAAAAAAAATGCGTCTACAGGCCAGTGGCACCTCTTCGAGCATATTTTAAAGAGTGGTTCGTATATGAGAACCCCTTCCATTCATTGCCTCTCAGAAAACACAAATTTATCCCCCTCCCCATCCACAGCGTCTCTGAGACAAGCCAATAACCCTTGGGAATAACCTTCCCGGGTCTACTCGATGCCCGAGCCCTGAGTCTAGACATTCCCAGGATAAGGACCTTGCGCCGATCGCCGCAGAAGAAACTGGGGTCGGGATGAGCAACCACCGCGGCCACACTGGGCGCCGAGCGCGGGTCGGAGTGCATCCCAGCCTCGTCCCCACGCGTCCGGCTAACCCTGGACGCCGCATCCACGCCGCCCCGCGTCCCCTTGGGCTCCCACCCACCCGCGGGGCCGCTTCCTCCTCCGCGCTCTCGAGCTCTTCGCTCCGCTCCAACTCGCTTCCTCCCAAACCTCCTCCCGGGAGTCCCTGCCTCCCCCTCAGCCCTCGCGCGCTCACCCACCGTCCCGTTCCTCACCGATCTCTTTCTCGTTGACCCTCGGGGGAAAGCTGGCCATCTATGGGGCACAGTCTGATTCCGGGGACACGATACGGACGCAACGACGACAGAGAAAGCAGTGGCTACGGCCGAGGGGCGTGACGCGGGCTCGGTCCCTCCTGGCCCGGGGACGGCGGGGAGGGGCGGGGGCGGCCGCTTCGGCTTCCACAGGCTGCACAGGGAAAACAGAGAGGCCTCGGACCAAACTACGGGGTCGAACACAAACAAAAGACCTAGTATCCTGCCTCCTCCCGACGGACCAACACGGCGGACTCAACACTGCCGACGGCAAAAGAGACACTGGGACAAGATGGCGGGCGGCGCGGGAGATAGCTGGACGGCAGGGGGCGTGGTTCTGTGACGTTGGTGTTCGTGCCCCGCCTCTCGACGCACGGGACGTGACGGCCCGGGGCCTTCTCGCGCGGGCGTGGTCCTGGGGGCGAGCAGTGCGGAGAGAAGCGAAGAGTGCTGAGGTGGGGGGAGTTGAGGTTCTGTCAGCCTGGCGAGAGGGGCTTCCTGACTGTGCCGCTTAGAAGTCAGAATCCCTTTCCAAAGACCACCAGAGAATTGTTTAATACATATTACCCCGCAGCTGAAAGATGGCAGGGAATTTAAACTGGCTGAATCAAAAAGAAAAAAAAGATACTTCAATTTTGAACTCTATTTGGCCCCTCTCCAGCTCCTGCGTGCCAGTTAGACTGACGAGAGAGGGTGAGACTTAGCGTCATTGTGCGCCACCTGTGCGCTTGCTACTGTGGTGACACGAGCCAGCCGGTTTGAGGAAGTGTGGCGGTGACAGCCTAACCGTGCCTCACTGCGTAGCCTCCCTAGGCTGCCCCCGTCCGGCTTAGCCCCTAAGCCAGTTCTGCCACAGAGCTCGAGGTCTTTGGAGTCTGGCTGCTGGCCTAGGCGGATCCCTCTGTGGCAGCTCAAAATCCACTTTTCCTCTGCCCTGGGCCTGGGCCTCAGGGGAAGTGAGCTGTTCAAGAATCTGAGCTGATAAGTGTGTTGGTGTGTGCCAGATGGCAATTGGTTCCCCTTTACAGATGACATATTTGCATTTAATGGCCCTTGTTTCTACTCTAAACCTTGTTCCAAAGGAGGGCATACAAGGCTGGGAATTTCAAACCTGTGGCAGATACCCCTGGGAGAAGGAGCTGCCTAGCCTAACTCTTGAGAGATCTCAAATAACAACACGCAGTGCACGTCTACTTTATCATGGCTACTTCACCTTGTTTATATGTGTAATTCTTCAAATAGTGAAACATTTAACAGAAGCGAGTGTGGTGGCACATCCCTGTAATCCCAATACACAGAGAACATGAGATAGGAGGATCATAAATTTGAGCCCAGCCTGGGCAACTAACTCACTAATTTAGGGAGACCCTGACTGAAAATAAAAATACTAAAAGGCCGGGGATTTAGCTCAGTGGTTTCGCCGCTAACCCGAGTTCGATCCCCAGTACCAAAAAAAAAAAAAAAAAACCACCAAACTAAAAGGGCTGGGGATGTTGCTTATGCGAAGGCCTTGGATTCAAACAGTGTGTGTTGGGGGGGGGGGGGTGAGAAGAAAAGGAAAAAAAAAAAATGTTTATTCCCGTTTCCCATTTACCCTGAGAATACTTGGCAGCACTTTCAGCTGCAGCGTTTATCCCAGCATCACTGGAAGGTTAAACTCCTAGCTTTATCCCCAGTGTTTGCCAGGAAATATCTCTATTATTGATCTTTCTACTATTTTAATAGTCATTGGAAACAAAAGACATTCTGTGTGTAGCATTCTGTTTTTAATAGTTTACTAATTTAGTGGTATCTAGTAGTTTTAGTAGTTTCTGTTTCCAAAATACAGTAATTCTTTGTTATGGCTTGTGTTTAGATGTCCCCACAAAGCCTCATGCAAATGAGGTGGGACCTTTTTGGAGGTGGCTGGATCTAGAGTGTGTGATTCATGGTGCAATGCTAGGCTCAAAGGCACTAGGATGAAGGGTGTGAGTGCTACCTGCCCTAAATAGTCTGGATAAGATAAAAGGGGCAGGAAGACAATGTTAAAGTTCTCTCATTGCTTCTGCTGTCTCCCCCCTCCATGAACTGTTGCCCCTCTGACATGTGCCACCCTGCCTTAGAGCCAGTCAATTATGGACTAAAACTTCTACAAACTATAAGCCAAATAAACCCTTCTTCCCTTAATTTGTGGATGTCAGGTATTTTGTCTCAGCAATGAGAAAAGTAAGATATTCTTGACCATTAAAAATGTCAAATCCAGGCCGGGGATTTAGCTCAGTGGTTCGCCACCTGGGCACAAGGACTGGAGTTCAATCCCTGATACCAAAAAAAAAAAGTCAAATCCTAGAATGCATAATATCCCTGCATATGTTAACATTGTTCTGGAACAGCTGTTAGCCAAAGATTTACTAGATAAATCCAGTTTTTCCTGACTAGATGATTCTGATGATTTTTTCAACTAGTTTGAGAAGACAGCAGAGTCAGGCCTCCATCCAACTTGAAATCTGTTGGAAATAGCCCTCCATCAGCTGACTCAGGTGTGCTCTGAAAGTTCGAGTGATTCCACATCAAAGGTGTATCAGCACACCCAGCAGAATAGTTAATGTCAGTGGTACCTCTGACCCACTGCAGTATGTTGAACTGTTCTTTACTGAGGGATTTGCTTTTTAAATTACCAGCAAAACAAATACCCAAACTTCCTTGTTAGCCTCAAAGCCACCTGGTCCCAAAGGATTTCCGTGAAGGGATTAAGTGGAAAAACACTGACAATGATGAACTGAAAGGTTTTTCTGCAGTAACAGCACTGCAAAGTTCTATGCAGAAACCTGAGCTGGAGAAGTTTTGGTTGACAAGGACTCTTTTGGATATTCTTATCTCAGGCAAATTATGACTGGTGAAAAATTTTTACTTTTGCTTCCGTGCCTGCATTTTGTCAATAATTCTCCCATATCTGCTGGTCAAAGGCCCTGATTTCATTGCAGATCAAACTTGTGTTCAACTGGGCTGGGGATTTAGCTCAGTGGTGCTGGCACCTGCCTCGAAAGCACAAGGTCCTGAGTTCAATCCCTGGTACCAATAAAAAATCAACATACACAAACTTGTGTTCAACTTGCTTGTAAATAAGTTTTCAATATGCTCCAAACAGAAACATTACAGTTGATGAATCATTGACACAGTTCCAGGGGCAATTAGCCCAAAGCAGTATGTCCCAGTGAAATGAGCACAACTTGGTCTCAAGCTACATGACTTCATAAAAGGCATTCTGGTTATGTGTGGCATATGCTTGTTCACACAAGGCCCAGTATGAATTTGAAAGATTCAGCTGATGATCTGAAGTCATCATATTGCTTTTACCTTGGTCATTGACCTTCTTGCCCAAGGATATTATATTTTCCTCAATAATTTTTATACACTTCTCATGCTTTTCAGAGAATTGCATCAAAACCGGACTGATGAGGTTGGAACAACTCATTTGAGTAGAAAACAAATGCCAAATGATCTGGAAAAAAAAAGGTTACTGTGGTGAACATATGGCACTGAAATGGTGTGACAAGAAGGTGGTGACAATGTTGCCAACCTTCTATAAGGGTACTGTGATTGATGTAGAGGACAGAACTGATAAGAAAACTAAGTTGAAGCCTTGTATCATTGTGGATCATAACAAGATATGGAGCAGTGGAGTAGGCTCATTAGACGCTCACTCCTTATCCAACTGAGTGCAAAAGACACAAGGTTTGTTATAAGAAATTCTTTCATCACCTTCTAAACATTACAGGGCCAAACACCTATATCTTATTAAGAAGGACAATCCTGAGCACATGATTGGCCATATAAACTTCAGACTGAAGAATGCTAGAAGAGAATCACAAGGCAGGGCAGCAACATCTGGGAGGTTGTCCGTTTTCTGATGATGTCACATTTCTTCACCTGTCCGGAAGACATTTTCCCAAGAGCACACCACCAACATCAGGGAAACAAAATCCATCCAGCTGCTGCAAAGCTAGCTGTTCAAACAAAAAGAATAGCAAGAAGATCTAGAGAAAAATGCGGAATTTTTGTGCCACATGTGATGTCCTGATTTGTGGTGTTCTATGCTTTGAAATTTACCACACTAAAAAAAAGTTGAGTTTAGTTTTTTTGAGACGAGGTCTCATTATGCAGTTCAGGCTGGCCTTGAACTCACTATTTATCCTAGCCTAGCCTCAAACTTGTGGCGATCCTTCTGCCCAGCCACTCGAGTGGTGGGATTACAGGTTCACGCCACCACACCTGGCGAAAAAAAAAGTATTAAATAATGCTAATCATATACATTTGTTACAACAGGATTAGAGCAAGTTCCATTTAGAAATAACTCCAAGAACAGATTTTATATTTTATTTCCCATTGAAAACCAGTCACATTTGCATCAACCTCAAAGAATGTGTCTGTGTATAATTAAATGATTCCTGGCATTGAGCTGTGCTTTTCTCCCTAACTAGTTAAGAGGTGTAAGAAATCATCTCCCCTCTCCTTCAAAACAAAATCATTTTGTTACCTTCAACAAACACATTTATTGAGGACTTGGCACTGGAGCTAGTTGCTGAATATTTAGAGTAGAACAAAAGAAAAAGGTTAATGTAGTTTTGAGGCTAATATACCACCATTTGTATCATTCCCAGTTAATTCTTTAAGCCAACTGCTATTATTACTGTTTATTTGTACTATACCACACAAATTCATGGAAAATACCAGTTCTTGAGTGCCTAGTTCTGAATTATTTTGGTGGCTTTTTCATACAATTGTTTAATTCCCACTTTATTCTCACTAGCCAACACACTTCCTGATCATTTTCTCAACTGACACAGTATGGTGTGGAATGAAAAACAGTGTCATGATTTGTGTACTCATTGGTGATGCTGTGTAAAATTTGGGAGTCCATGTTACTTGCTAGGCACAGTTATCAGGTGTAGTGGAGATCAGCAGTCTTTTCCAGGCTCTCATTGTCTCATTCAATGAATTGGTTAGGACAGTTGGTGAATGTGAGACTGCTGTTTATTTTAGGGCAGAAATTCAAAGAGGAAAAGAAAAGAAGCACAAAAGAAGTGCTAAAGGAGAAAAGGGTGCTCAAAGGAAAAAGAGAAGGTACATCTTACAAGCCAAATGGACCACTGCAAGAATAAGAGGGCAGTGGCACAAACTCAATTGCTGCCGGTTTTTTATAGCTTCTTTGACAGTTGAGCCAGGGGTGGTCCCACTCAATCTCATGCTAGAAGACTGGCGTCAGGTGCCAGCTTTTGCATGTTCTTGTGTCAGAAGATGGTTGCCAGGTGATCTCATGCCAGGCTTTGCAGATGCCACTCT